GTAAGGTCTAAAAATGTGTTAAGTATGTTTAAGAAGAAACATGGATTCTTATTCCAAAAGAAGCAAACGTATGTAATGCTAAAGCTACTAATATCATTACAATTTGCACCTCCAGTTAACTCTGAGCTGTCAGTAACTGTCAGAAGTAATTACTTGAAATGTTTAGAAGTAACTATAATCAAACTTTGCACTCCTGTTAACTGCCACAGCCTGATTATCTTCTGTCTTGTAATTTATACTGCTTTTTACACCAAGCAAAAATACTGTATTACCAAAAATGCATTAGAGATGGAGCAGAAAAACCTGCATTGCTTGCACTATATATTACTTGGACAATTATTTGCTTGGCATACTCTACATAACCATGCACAGGTGAGAGCTGTTCTGAAAGACTGGGTCCCTGTTGTGTTACTCAAGACATCTCCATAAACCTTGGCATGGTTTGCAAGAGCTGTACTTTCAGTCAGTGTTTCATGCTACTGATCACTGGTTGAAAAATCTACTTAAGAAGACTGTAACTGTCAGAACAGTGGGACAGTCAGATTTCTTTGCATCTTTTAGGACACTGGTGATATCAAGGATACTCCACAGGGAAAAAAAGATGCAACACCTATTCAAGCTTTGGACAAAATAAGAGATTTTTGCTTTTTAACTTTTCATTTCCATAATATATGACCTAAACATGTGGTCCCATTATTAGGAGAAAAAAAAATATTAAAAATTGCTTTGCTAACCTCGGAGCTTTACTGAAGAGTTTGACTACACAGATGGTCACAACTGGGCCATACAAGTACACTTTCTCTTACATGAGAAGTTGGCCAGCAACTTAAAGGCAAGAAAATAACTACCTTTAACTGTGTAAAACACTTAAAAATATTTCTAGAACTGTGGTTTATTAAAGTGCAGTAGAATATTACCTGCAGCAAATAGCTTCATTCTTAGGTTGAGGTGCATCACTGAAATACATCATTAGTATTTTGTTATAGAATGTTCATAGGTTATCTGGGAGAAAAAAAGAAGGGAATATTGTATTTTAGAGCAGAATCTTCCTTCCTTTCCACCTACAACTGCATTACTGTGTGGAACAAAAATAAATCAGAACAATGTGTTGATGAGCAATGATCAAAAAAAACTCTATATGGAGAATATGGACTGAGATCACTGACGCAAAGTTCAGTGATACATGGATGGCAGTCTAATATTTGTTGCTTCCCAAATATAAAGATCTTCCTTCAGCCTTTTGACCGCCTGTTTATTTGTAGAAACCTAAGCTTTATTTAACATCCAATGACATTTTTGATTAACTAAACTTATTGGGTTTGGGATTTTTTTCTATTCTTAATTTCCATTGACCTCTTGGTGGAAAATACAACGCTAAGTGGGATCACATGAAATAAGAGGTAAGATTGCCAGGAACTTCCATGAAGCCAGATTTTTACCAAGTTAGTACAACTTTCTGTGACAGTCTGCAACAAGCATTGAAACGTTACAGTTACTCCTCTGAAATGCATTTTCCTCTTCTATTAACATAATTCAGCTAAAAGGATGTGATATCAAGATCTAAAGGACGGCATCACTACTGGCAAAACTCTAAGGATTTTCCAGTGTGAACCTATTCCCCATGCAGCTCTAGAGTAACGGACATTAAGTGAAGACTATTGTAAGCAACAGAAAATCTCCAGTAAACTCATGGATTTTGAATCATGCTCTGTAAAAAAAAAAATAATAAAATAATATTTTACAAAAACATCTGTGTGAAGACAGAATGAAGAAAGGAAAAGCCATAGATTGCTAACAGCCACATAAATGTATGAGGAATCATGACCCAAACAGCAGTGCCAGCTCACAACACCCTCAGCGCAGTTTCTGTAAGGTGTAGGTTGAAGAACTTTTTCTTCCCCCTTCTGTGGTGTAGCGCAAAACACGAAGATTATGGCCCAAGGAAACAGATGGAAAAACATTTCTGACAGCTTAAGTGCAGTTAATTATTTGTAGGCGAAGCATTCTGCTATCAGCATTGATTTGCTGTAGTTGAAACTGAAACAGTCATAGCAGCAACAATTTTACTCAGCATCACTGCATTACCTGACTATAAATAGGATGGGCAGAACCACAGAACACCACCTTGCCAACGGGGCTGCCTTTTCATCCCTTCCAGGAAGGGGCAGCTATAGCCCAGCACACTGTGCAGTGTGCTTTTGGTAAGCACCTCAGCCAGGTCTCATTCTCTCACATTTTTTATGCGTTTTTCTCTCCTACCCTTTTCCTTTAAGCAGATTCAACAGTTACAAAAGTAAATCAACTAGATATTATATGTATGAAAAGATTTCACAAGCTAGGTATAGCATTTACACTTTACAGGTGGTACAAAGGAGGAAAACCACATTTAAGCAAGTGCTCATTGCACACCTTCTCGAAGGAGCAAAGGGAGGCAACATGTTTTCTTGTGTCTCTGTGGGATTTATTTCTATTACCAGAGCATATAAGAGAAGAAAACTGCTGCTCCTAGTAATGACATTCAGCCTTCCAGGAAAAGGGACAAGCAGAGAATAGGCTTGGGGAGGAAATCCTCAGCCTCCACCAACCAAAAATGAGGAACTGGAGACAAAGCGGTATCATCGATTTTTCTCCCTTAAAAGTGTGACATGGGGAAGAGACTGCCTTGTAACTCAGCATTTTTAATATTTTTCATCAGCAGCTATGCAGTTCTTTACTTCCCTTGCTCTGGCCAAAGCATGCTTAGCTTGTGTTTAGCCAGCCACATGGTCAGAGAATCTTGTATCCCTCATTCTTCCTTTCTCTACTTTTGCTTCTTCTCTTGTAAGACATTTGGCATGTCTAACAGAAAATGACAAATCAGGTCTTGAGAACACCCACCACAACTGCTCAGAGAACAAACCACACAGCCACAACACAGAATCCAGGATAAATTTCTGGACTTCTTACAGCAATCTTATACTTCCTGATACATAACAAGAGAGCTATTTGACTTTAGAAGAAAAAAAAAATTGGGGTGCTTTTTTTTTTTTTGTATCCTTTGACAAATCCAAGGAGACAATTCTGTCACTGTGTGAAAATTACTAATTTGAATGTCAGTATGAAATGGAATTGAAGTCCACCTACCACTATAGCATCATCACTGCATAATGGTTTAACACTGGCCTGCCATGCAGCCAAGCGGCAGTGTTCTGTTGGGAATAACCCAGCAAGATACTGCAGCCCACCTGGGTAACAACACAGAGCAAGGAACATGCCAAAGGCTGTATCTTACTGCACTGTCTATGAGGTCCATAGCACTAGCAGCTTCTTGATACCACCAGATACCTTAGAAAGTCTCATTACTTGAGTTCTGGGTTGAAGGTACCTGTCTTTTTTACATTATCTTCCTCCTTGGCCACTTTCATAGATTATTTTTTCTCAGGAGAAGCTTCACTAAATTCAATGAAGGAGAAAAGCATCCTCACATTAAACAATTTTTTCCATTGAGTTTAAATTGAGTTTTTTCTTAAAGAGGAAAAAAAAAATGCTATTGGGAACAGCAGGATTATTTTTTTTTAATTAGGATTACTGGCTTTCAGGGAAAACATAATCATACTTTCATCCACTCAACTTCACAAAAAAAATTCCAGGCCTCTTGATGAAACTGACCTTAAAGTAGATAATCTGGAAATGTGAAACCTGAACTGATTTGTTTCCACCTCTGATGCATCCTGGGAGATGCACTGAAAGATCATTCACCTGCTCAGAGCTCAGAGTTTTATAAGGTAGCAAGGTATCTAGAAGTTATTCAATGTGATTTGCTCTTCTGAATCTAGTTCCTATACTTCTGTAGAACGAGATGCTTTAGTTAGGGTGAAAAGAAGTAATTCAGTTACAGTCACCAGCTTTTTACAGGCTGTGCATTCACTATACCATGGCAGCAGAACCTTATCAGTTAGCTCTGTAATGACCCAGGGAAGTTTCTTAGCTCAAGCACATTCCAAGTGAGTATATCTACATTGCTTGTGGGGTCAGTGTCATTTCAAGAGCAGTTCAGCCACTTCCCTAGTGTGCAAAATTTAAACTAATGACCCATTAGAGCCCAAATTAGCTTCAAAAGCAACCTCATTTGACAGCCTTGTTGTATACTTCCAGAACTAGGAACGCTATGTTGTAATAAGTTAAACTACATTGAATAAGACCTACTGGCTATGTCTGTACTTGTAAATTAAAGAATGCCAGCACTTGGGACAACTTGCTCATCTAAATATTGTTGTAATGCCCCCGGTATAATTTCTGTGCAGGACAACTAGCACTCTTCCAAGAAATGCCCAGGCATGGTTTGGGAGTTGACATGTTCCAGGAGCAGTTTGCATGTACCAACTGTGCTTTGCAGGCTAACAGGATTTAATTTTGTTAACAGCCAGATCAAATCAGAAGGATTCCTGGCACTGTACACATGCAGCAACTACAGCTCAGTTTGCACCCTGCCAGACATGAGATACTCCATCCATCCATTGCTTCTGCACCACGCTCCAAAACAGGGTCTGTCAGCACAGAGGCAGTGCTGACTGTGAGACTGCCATCTCTCCTGCTGAAGCCCTGTGCCCGGACTAAAAAGTCCTCAGAGGTTGATATATGAACAATCTATCGGCTCTCAATAGTCAGACTAAATTTGGCAGGGTCAACAATGAGCTAGTGCTACCCAGACCAGCTGAAACCAAGCTGGGGTACAGATGGGCTTCTCTGCACTGTTCTCTGCAGCATCTCTGGTAGTAACATACCTTATTAGCTCATTCACAATGCAAGATCCAAGTGGTCTCTGTGCATGCACTGGGGTTAGTCTTGATCTTACAGGCTTGCCTACTACCCAGAGCACCAGTGGCTGTACTGAAATAACTTAGTGACTCTGAGGGACCCAGCCCTGGTCCATTATGTTCAGCACTGAAGTATATTTAGCAGGAATTCTGGACACTTGATGCCTTTGACCTATCAATCAAACAGATTTACCTAAATATAAATAGGTTTTGAGTATTTATGTAATGTGTATTTGTATGTACATATATATAAGGATATACTGCCCATATGTAAGAATTAAATGACAATTACATGATAAAATTTTAAAACATTTAAATTATAAAAACCCTGAACATCTTTCAGTATGAACCTCATACAAGACAAACATTTTGTACATTTGCTTCAGCTTAAACTTGACAGCAGAAATAAAGATGCAAAACAGAATTACAGACCATAAGTAGCTGGTCCAGTATTTTGTTATCCAGCATTTTGATTAATATAATACCTATGTTACAATCCTCTTTCATATATGCAGCTTTTACCTTTCTCTTGTTTATTTTTTCCTCCGGTCAGAGGAACACTATTCTGGTAAGTGTTTGGCATGATTAGGTGAAACCCAAAATACTTATACGTATCACTATGTTATTAGTGCATCACAAATGAAGTACAGGAACATACCAGATGTTCACCTACAAGAGCAGAATATCATTAGAAAGCAGAACACTGCAACTGCAAATTCTTTTGTTATTGTTGCTATGGGTGGAAAAAACCCCCAACACTGAAGCAATTCCACACGATCTGACATCCCTGTTTGATTAGCGTCATGTGCACATCCCTGCAGAACAGTCACACATCTTATTTGCACTCAAGTCTGTGCTCATTTTCTCAACGTGTTGTACAGCTGTTCCTTCTGCAAAGGATGTTCTTGCCCTCTGCTTCTTCAGTCCACAGCAGTCATTAAGAAAAAAAAAAACATCTTTGTTCCCTGGAAGACAGTAGGAACTATAGTTTATAATGAAGCCACTAAACCAAGCAGCATTATCCCTGGAGAGGTGAATAGCTGTGTAACTTAGCCCACCTTGTTGCAGTTTTTGTTTTGCTTGTTTTGAAAGTCATTTACTGCAACACATTGAGAAACAGGAGATAAACACAGTTAACTCAGCCATTCTCCCATAGTACTCTGCTTGTTCTCGCTGGGTCTTTCTTTCATGTATTCTGTGTACTTCCTGGGTTCAACGTTTTCCTCTTTGCTTTTTTTTTTGTTTGTTTTTAATCATGCATCACTTGGCTCACTCATCCTTGCACCTCCAAGCCTTTGTTGTTTTCAGTTTTTAATGATGATCTTGTAGTTAAGAGCTCACCAAAGTGTAGATCATGCTGAAAATAAAAGAAGGACACGATATGAAAGTATCCTTTTGAAGCATACAGAGCACTTTGATTTTTATCACCCTTTACTGTCTGTTTCTCAGGTCTGACCATAATGGCCTGTGCTTTCCTTTGCATTCTAGCTCTCTAAAGCATCTTAATTGTGGTGTATTCAAGACGGGTATCAAAAAGCACTCAAGAAATAACAAATTCATTATCGACATCCTACTGAACTACAAGCTGTGTTTGAGCTTATTAAAATGGAGTCTGATGTCTGAATTTGAACAGTGAAGAAACAAGCCCATTTTACTTCACAACATTTGATCTTTAAAACTTCAACCAGCAACTCTCAGCAGGGAAGGCAAGGTTTCCCACAAAACTGCATTATTTTGTTTCCTTTGGAAAAAAATCCATGCAGTAGAAGAAACATAAAACACATACCCAGCTGGAGTAAATCCATATATATTAAATGCAACTCTGAAAAGCAAAGACACCACGGTACATTGCCATGGCTTCATTTTACTGCAATTCTAATTCTGACAATACCCAGGAAAGCACAGCAAAATTGAATGTAATTAATACTATTTTATTTAGCACCAGGCAGTGGATTTTGGGGTATGGTCACATTTTAGAATTAAAGAAGCAGCACTCAGAGGAAACTACACAACAGTAGAATCCCAGCAGAAATGCCAGACCACAATACATAGCTGACTCTGCAGAGTCTTTTAGCCAACACAGAAATGTGGGGTTAAAATGCTTCTCTCTCCAGCTGTGCCTTGCCTCCTTGCAAGCACTACCAACAGAGTTTGTCTAGCATTACTGCCATGCTTTCCGCTCTTGGCCCTGTGAAGAGGACTAAGGCAAAGGTGCTCAGCCTAAACCCGCAAAGCTACTGGATGCTAAAGTCCTCCTCAGATTTTCATGCCCCATCCATCTTAATGTGAGTTAGGTACCTACTAGCTTCTGTGAGTCTGGGTCCTTCTGCTTTCTTTCTCTCATGTATGCAGACAGGCACTTATACATGCACATGTGGACAGAAATCTTTTTTCTCAATAGTACTTAAAGGTAGTATTGAGAAACAAAAACCTGCAGCAATAACTCCTCGAGATATGGGGAAAAACAGAACAGATACTGGGCCAGTAATCAAAGGAGAAATAACATTTATCTTCTTCCACTAGCATACAAACTTGCCTTACAGAGGGATTGCTGCATGTGAGGCTGGCTTGAAGAGGCAGTCTGTCCAAATGCATTATGGAAGAAGGAGCAGAACAAAGCCATCATAAAAACAACACCTCCATTTAACGTTAACTTTTGTTTCAAATATTTCTATGGTGTAATTAGAGGGGAGGCTGAAAGCACAAGGATTCTGAAAAGGACTTACCTTATATATGAACCTCACATATTCTTGCACTGAGCATTTGTGACTGTGCACTAAGGACATCTGACAGCAGAAAGGGTCAGGGAGACAACACACAACTGGAGTGCGTATCTTCAAGAATGTACTTAGATGAGGGATTTGGACAAGACACATGCTTACCCTGTCATGAAAGCAAGCCTGCAGGAATGACTACAGTCATGGTGCACTCCACTTTCCTACCCACCATCTACCTATGTATTAACCTATTACATTGAGCATCACTACACCAGCATACGTAGTATTTTTTCTTATGATTGTCTTGAATCATAAGAACGCTACCATTTTTATTTGATTTAATGCCATTACCATAACATTTGCCATTTCACCCATCCCAAAAAGCTATGCAGAGGAGCAAAAATTTTTCCCTTGGGCTGGCCCTGGGGCCTGGCTCAGCCCTTAGATAAACATTTAGTATTCTGTACTGAGGTGTCAGCAGATATAAGCACATGTGTAAGTGGGCATGTTTCCCTGAATCCAGATCAGAAGCGAGTTTTATAAGATTAAGGAAACAGGCCAATTGGCTCCAGTCATTCCTAAACACAATTTCACATGTCAAATGAAAAGCAGCTACTATTTCCTTAGTGAAATGACCAGACTCACCAGTACAGATAGTAGAAGAAGGAAAGGAGATAGAAAGCTAGCTTACACCAGGCCTCTTTCTGACAGTAACTCAAGGTATCTGCATTCATGACTGCAGGTGGATCATATGCTAGCTCTGAACTATCTGCTGGGCAACGAAAATACCTGAGAGAACAGAAGACATCTGAAGTTACTATAATATTCTGTATTAAATACATGCAAATATACACCCTCCTTATCACCCTCCCAGATGACAATCATTTCCACAATATAGGAGGAATTTTCCTCTCTTCTTCAAGCCTCTGTCTCCAGACGTTGTTAAAATCAGGACGCTAGTCTAAGCAGACCATTCTTACAGAACCAACCAATTCATGAATCTGGACTTTCTGTATTCTATTAATTCTTCAGATTGAAACATGCCCCCTTCCTATGCAGTTATTTCTGGCTTACTCACTAATAACTTACATATAGTGAGTGATAATATGTGGCAGCTTGTGATCACAGCATGGAAAGAGGATTACTGGGCTTTAACTGCACCTATACAACTGATTTCAGACATGATGAAAGCTGACAGTCTCAACCAACTGACAGGTAAGTTCCTTCAAGTCTGAAAAGGAAACAAGTCAATATGGAGTAATGCAAGAGCTGGCTGATTAATGTTTTCCACATGTAGGACTGCTTAAAAATTTATTATCCAAATAATTTTCATTGGACAATGTTTTTCGTCTTAATAGGAAAGATTTCTAATTATTCTCAGCAATGACTGGATGTTTGAGAAAATCCTCACAGAAGAACTTTTTTGGCAAAGGAGCTTTTGTTTCCGCTACTTTGCAGTAAAATGCAGAAGTGAACCAAAAAAGAAAAAAAGTCTTCAACAAAGTTAATGAATTGCTTTAAGATCAGGGTCAGATGTAATATTGTTATTGCTATTGCTCTGAAATAGTAAATAGTGAAGATTACTGGGATTCCTTATAAATAAAGACAAATGCATAGATAGAAAGATCTAAACCCCCCAAACAAGTGACTAGCATCAAATTTTGAAAGGAAATGTTCTCATAATAACTTTGTCTTCCTCCCAGCATTAATCACATCCACTTACAATCTTTAGTAACATTAAAAATTCTTTTACAGAGACCAACAGTGGAACCTTGCTTTATTATCTTAACAGAGATGAAGATATTACACAGTATCTTCCCATGTGGGGTTTTTTTCAGAGGATTACACAATGAACCTAAACCTATCTGTGGTTAAACCAGCAGAAATTCCGGAACACTTATACAGACAAACTATTATAGCGAAGCATATGGAGAATCATGGAAAGAAAAAAAAAAGACAAACAAAAGTTCCCTCCAAAGGTTGATACATTATTTAGAATCTGACCATTCTCACCTTGAATGTAAAATACAATTTAGTGTTTTTAAAAGCTTTCTAAACCAATATTATTGTCACACTTTAGTTGTTAATCCTTAGTCAAACAGCACCATAAAACATGATTATTTTTATTGCACCTAAGCAATAGAGAGAAAAGTACTCCTAGCTCCACTTAATTTAGCTTTCTGAGAACTGTACTGGCACTTTAACTTCTGAATAATACACTTTATCATATGGTGGTGTGCTAAGATTTTGCAGAAAATAGTGTAAAAAAGCTACTACTATTTAGTTCCTGGTTGGGATAATGGTTTTGCCTTCTTTACAGAACTCTTCAAGCTACCTTGCAACTGGAGATACTTGCTTCAATATGTGCCTTTGTAACACAAAAGAGAACTTGACAGACAGAAGTAATCCGTGCTTCTACAAACACTGCAGAAATGAAAAACTAGTGAAGTCTTCAAACTGACAACCACAAAACCTGGTATCTTTTGGTTATCTTCAGAGGCAACAGAAGGCAGATCCTCCACTAGAATGCAGATGAAGATGCAGCAGCAGCTGCACTGCCTGTCCAGAAAACATTAAAGCTGCTCAACAGCAGGTCTTATGTGATCAACTCTGAAAGTGCTTCAGTGAATATAAACACATCGCAGAGATCCAGAGCGGAAACACTCCCTGCTTTTTCATGTGGGCAGGGTGAAGACAACAGCTCTTCAACTACTGCAATCCCTAGTGCAATAGCATGTAAGAGACTTCCCTTTCAGAACAGATACTCTTTACTGTACAGAAAGAAACAACTTATTTTATACTGAAAAAAACAAAAGAAAGCTTAAAGCTGCCAAAGAAGATGAGAAGCAAAATTCTGTCAATCTGCCAGTCTCTATTTCACAACTTTAGCAAGGAAATCTTTCAACTGGAGATGAATGAATAGATCCAAGATCTTTCAGATATGAACTGCCTTCTGTGTTCGGTACTTCAGTTCAGAAGTAAATACTTCCTATCTGTGAAGTACTTAGAGCCTCACCAAGTTCCAGTTTTAGATTCCAGCCTATTTAATTTCCAAGTTTTCATTCAGCTGTGGCAAGTGTGTTCTGACATACTTTGCAATATTCACCTAAGTTAGCAACTAAACCCCATATTTATATTGTTATGTGTTTTCTGTACCCATAGCAAGCATTCATGAAAAATATTTACTTTTTCTCTGTGAACATTTCAGCTGCTCATAGGCAAAAACTTCTAGGTAAAAGATACCCAGCCATACTCCTATCACTGCATGTCATAGTTCATACAACCTGCATGTGTGATGAGTTGGCAAATAAGGCTAACAAGAAGTCAGCATATAAAAGATGAGCTTACCTCCAGAAGTGATAAAAAAGCAAAGGAACATTTAACCCCAGTGTGAGCCACTCCTGAGCGCACAAAAACATTATGCAGAAAAGACTATGAATAGAGTACTCCGGCAACACCAGCTAAAAAGAAAGGAACAGAAATAAAAGCTGTTTGTTAGTGAAACACCTCTTTTAATCAATTAAGCAGTTTTCCAGAAAACAAACCACCTCTGCAAGTCGCCTGTCTGTCCCTAGATATGCCTCAGCTGACAGCTTTGCTATGAGCAATGAACACAAGATGCAGTACCAGGTTCTAAACATGGCTGTGCTCCACGAGCTGCTACCACTTACAGAAACATTGTGAGAATAAAGCAATGTCTGTAAAAGGCTTCTTAGAGAACTAAGTTTCATTACTGAAATATTCTGAAAGGAAATAATAAAGTTATTACTGAAGCTTCACTTTTACACTGGAGCAGCATCCTTAGAAAAATGAAAGGCTGCTTCTATCACTTTAATGTGTTATATACACCCTATAGAGATAAAATCCATTACTAAATCAGCATTGCAAGCTATAACCTACTAAAACAGGAATCTCACTTCCTTAGTAAATCCATGGCTCCCCACACTACTTGTTTCAGACCCAGGATGATTCTTTCTATTAAAAGAGAAAGTGAGTAGGCAGTTGGCAGAAGCAGAAATTTATGTGCTGTTGATTCAGTGTAGTTATTTCTAAAGGCATTTTGCCTTTTTTTTTCCTCTCCACTGTTTTCCTATTTCTTAGCTGGCTTTCTTCTCTTGTTTTATTCCAGTGCCTTTTCTCAAAACCCTCTATTTCTTTTCTTCCAGCAGTACGTATTTCTCAAAGCTGGACAATCCCATACACAGCTCATCTGCATCCCTTGCCACATCTTGGAGCCACATCAACCAAAGTTAAATTATAAAAAGCATCTCAGTGGCTTCTTGGATGTGCATTCATTTTCATCTCACAAGCAATTAAAGTGAGCCCGATTTTTTAGAATGTAAAACCTACTGTATGGCTATCCCTAATGCCTACCTACTCCCATACTGCTGTGTAGCAACGAGTTCCATCTTCTTGGTACCATGAGTCTTTCCACCTCACATGGAGTGTATTTTTTCACCTTCATTTAACTTTACTACTTGAAGTACTTAACACATTTGGGTATCTCTATGTCTACACCTTCAACTTATACATTCTCAAAAGCTTATCTTATGTGGATGACAAATCGTAATACAATTACATAGTTCAGATTCCAGATGGTAGTTATTTATCACTGCTGGATTTTATTTTTTCCTTCATTTTTAGAATGCGATTTACAACATGACTATAACCTTTCCCCAAAGAATGATTCATCTTCATCACAAACTGCAGACAAGAAAGATCTTCACGATGCACATCTACCCATTAAACATCACAACACTTAAAAGCATGTTACATTAATTATCACATATTTGATTTCTGATTCCAACATAATCCACAAAGTTAGGCACCAGGCTTGTGTTCCTGCTGATCGGTGGGCTGGCTGGTAATAACAGGGAAGGAAACCCATGGTGAAAATTTATGCAGAGATTAAAAACCAAACCAAACCAAATGATCTGCTGTGAAGCCAGAAAGGAAACAAAGAACAAAGGAAGCCGTGGACTCTCAGAAACAGACTCACTTCCCCGTCACAGTTTCTGGTACAAATTAAATCTACATATGCTTTGACAGAACAATATATGAGTCACTTATGTCTCTTCACCCTTTTCTTTGAGGGATATTTTCCTGTGGATGTAAACAAAGAAAGGATCAGCACTGATCACAATTTCTGAAGGGAATTTATGCAAAGTTGCAAAGGAAGTGAAGCCCAGACTTCAAAGCCAATTACTGTTTATACTCAGGTGACTTCCCTAGGAGACCAAATCTAAAACGAGGAGAGAGAATTTAAAATATGAACTGTAGAACAGCACTAACAGCAAGGATTGTGAAGAAAATTAAACTGAATAACTAAATAACTGAAAAATAATGCTGCCTCAGTTCTTGGCTGTAAGAGTCATCTTGCAGTTTGATACAATGTCCTTTCAACAATGGAAACTTTTGATCAACTTTAACACACAAAGGATTTGGCTCCTGGAGAGAAGGAAGCTGGCTCAGAAACAACCAACAGTCAACCCTTGCTGTTCCCACTGAGGTAGTCAACAGCAATAGTGATTTCTGAGATACAGATAGCTGCGCAGTAGGAATTCAACTAAAGCCTTTAATTCATTCCTGGAAGAGCATACAGAGATGCCAGATGGTAAACATGTTGAGCTATAACCAGTATACTTCCATTGTGAACCAGGAACACTCTGATTCAGATAACAACCTCTGCTTTCTGACACAGCTCAAGATGAAACCTTGAGATGGTTAGAGAACATGGCACTGGAGGAAAAACTGTCAAAGCAGCACAGTTCTTAAGGGCTGCAACTTGGTCACTATGAGTCCCAATCTAAGGAGTGGCATTACAAATTTATCACCAGAAACTCTGCTGGCTGACATTTACCTGTGGAAAAAATACAGGAAAGCCTGAAAAGGAAGTCAGCTTCTAGACCAAAAGACTACTAATCAGAAACACCTTTTGCTATAAGCAAGGGAAAGAAACTACCATACATTTCTAAGTTTTGCTTTGATCTGTACAGTTAAATAAATAGCCATATCAGTAAATATTCAAAATCCTTATTCACAATCCATCAACAGCATTTAAAATGTAAAATCTTAGGTAGATAACATACTTGTATCATTGCCATCTCCCTTTAAATACTCAATACATCCTCATACAAAGGAGTACACACACACATGCCTGTGTAGACAGATTCTTCCTCCCTAATTCCAAAAAAAATAAAGTAGGCTTTGTTGTGCGTAGACATCAAGGTTCAGCTGAAGTAAAGCATGGAAAAAGAAGCACTGAAGCCAAGCACCTGTCAGCAGCTTCTTTACATTTATAGGAATACAAAGACCTCTGTAGATTGCAACTGCAGGCAGCCATCTCTTGGGAAGCTCAGTCCTAAATCATTTTATTCAGCTTCCTATTTCCTAAATATATTCTGTTGGTCTTATACAAAAGATAAATCCATCTTTTTCTGACAGTACTCTTCCTCCTTATTCTGTTTATTACAGATGGAGACATCCTTCTCAAATCTGATTTTGCTTTTACAGAACATTTGTGTCATTTTTACAAGGAGTGACTCTTACACTTTGGCCACTGAAAAGGGCACATAACATAACGCACAGAAACTAAAACTGGGAAGATATCATAGCAGGAATAGTAATCTCCCTTCACCAGTGCTATTAAATTCTCATGCTTACAAAATCAATCTGCAAGTGAATCAAATGGTTTTCCCAGTCACTGTTAAGCCACTGCAATGCCAAGATCTCTAGCAATTTGCTTAGTGTGCTAGAGTGCAACACAGTAATTCTCACAGAATTGTTGGTTTTCCCCCAAAAGACTCTGAGTCTACATCATTCTCTATCTCTGCATGTCAGCCTCCACACTGTAATCACAGATTCAGGACCATACACAGAAATTGCTAGCCATTAGACACTCTACCCTTGCCAGGGTTTCAGAGTTTTCATTACGCTGTTAGAGGCAGAGACAACTCCCCATCTCAATAGCTGCCTTCTCCTCTCACAGATGGCAGGAAAAAAAGCTGAAGAGAAATAGAGGTTGATTCCCCTTCACTAAGAGCTCAGGTGATACCCAAGTCAAAACCAAGTCACCTTGCGAACGCATAAGCCCTTTTCCATCCACCTAAAAGCAACAAGAAACTGAAAACACCATGCATGCATCGATTCAGTCCAGGGCCCAAAGTTAGGCCTGACCTAAGGGCATGTTGCTTTATTGCACTGGTTAATGCTACTGCATTAGCCAATTAAAGGACTGGCTCACCCATTAAAGAATGGCTGCAGCATGTCACTATGATTCTCACTTTGCTGCTTTTACACCATATCCCTCACTAAAGCTGACATGTAGAATTGGTCCTCATTGATAGAATGGAAAAAGAGGATGGAGATGACCTCAACGTTTTCAAAACTCAAAGGTTACTTTAACTACACTTTAAAGACCATCCTAATAGAGCCTGGCAGAGCTAACGTAGGTCACTGGGGAGTATCAACTGCTGAATTCAAGACATTGCGAGACCAAAGGAAGCCATTTAATGACTCCAAAATTCTCCTAATTGAACAACACAGACCACAAAAGTCAGGGTAGTGCAAAAAAGTGAAAAAAAGAAAGCAAAAACACACAGAAAAATAGCAGCAGCATGTGCATTAGCCCAGAGTGTGCAGGCATGTATAAAGTACCTACACTGAAACAACTCATATCTGTTCACTCCTGCTGTTGCACAATCTAAAGAAGAAAGTGTGTAATTTAAATAGACCATACATCTTAACATTTGCAACAGTTTTTAACGCACTGCTGCATTGATCAAACACATGAAAGACATTAAATTTACTGTTGAAATACAGGAAGGCTTCCCACTTACATGCCTTGTGTATCTTTCTAATCTACTTTAAATTATTTGAATTACTTGACTTCCAAAACTTCTGAGAGGCTGCCCTAGAGCCCAATACAAAGATGTTGCAGTAAATATATTAAGGTTTTCAGTTCAAATTTTCACGTTCAGTTTCTTTAAATTCTCCTGTCAAAATCCACACTTGCTTGTGTCTCTGCATGCTCTGTCCTCTAGTTACTTATAGCAATCACTCAGAAATTCAGTTGTGTAGTTGAAACTGTTATAACACAAACTGCTTCCCAAAGCATTTTAAGCAATTCAAAACCATGCTACGCAAACCTTTCTGAGTATTTAGCAGTTTGCTATGTGTATGTATGCAACTAGCTGAAAGAAAATGTCTGGAAATGGATTCCAGATCATCAAAAGAAAAACCCACAGCTGGACCACCCTAAGTTCACATAAACAGCTCGACATTTTATCTAGGGAAGAGTAATGGCAAGAGTCTTTGTCAGATGTATGCAAGAGTCAATGTTACAGACCAAATGCATAGCAAAAAATAAAAGAAAGGATATAACATGTATGTTTTCCACCCTGGACAACAACAAAGCAAAGCAGCACAAAGCCAATGCTTTGTAAAGGTAATTTCATTATTC